AAAGAGAAACTGGGCCTTTACAAGTCAGGGAGCCGAGACCACACTGGGCTTCCTGCAGAACTCCTGTGATGCCCTTGCAAAATCTTGGTGACAAGAAGCATAATTATGGGGAGGTGGTGAGGGTACCTGGTAGCTAATTCAGTCTAACCCCCCCCCCACCTTTTTACTGGCAAAGACAACAAAACCCAACAGCAAGCAGCTGGCAGCCTAGAAATGTGGCTGGCAGGGTCCCAGCCTCAGCTGCACAGAGCAGGGGTTTTTGTTTTTTTGGTTTTTGGTACCAAGGTTTCCAACCTAGGAGCACTTAACCACTGAGCCCCATCCCCAGACCTTTTTTTGTATTTTCTATTTAGAGACAGGGTCTCACTGAGTTGCTTAGTGCCTTGCTAAATTGCTGAGGCTGGCTTTGAATTTATAATGCACCTGTCTCAGCCTCCCGAGATGCTGGAGATTATAGGTGTGTACCACCACACCTGGCTGTTATCAAGTATTTTATTAACATTGCAGGTTGGCCTGACTACACACACTGTGCTTATTACACACCCTCTGCACTCTGCTTCTGTATGGAAGGATTTACTTTTTCAAAGTTGTAAAGAACAATATTCTAACAAGATGTGATTCAGTTGTCAAAAGCCCACCAATTGGCTCATCCTAACACGATGACGTTTTTCACTTTCACCTTTTCTGTTTGAGCCTGTCTTAAAGGCAGACATATTTTCAAAGTCCTGATGATGCATCCCACACAATTGGGTGTCCTGCTGTATTTTGAGCCTTGTTGCCTACTATTTCAGAGGTCATTGCCTGAACCCTAAATGAACAAAACACTATTTTCTTAATGATTTCTCTTTGCTTCTTTGTATCCCTTGGAAGCATTTTGGTTGCATAAGAGGGAAGCAAAACCAAATCAGCATATGTGGTTGGGAGTGGTGATTGTGGAATTCACTGGAAAGAATGCACAAGCTAGGCTTCAAAACCAGGAGCTAAAAGAGTCGGGGCTCCTCCTCCCTGTCCATCTCTATGTGGCCTCTCTCTGCTTCTTTTTGTTGGGGGTGGATACTGATGTCTGTCTAATTCCACCATCTTTCCTGCCCCCATGCTCCCTCTCCTCGCCTCCCTCCCCTTTGCCCAAAGTTTCTCCATTCTGCCCATGCCCCCCTCCTGCCCCCCACATTATGGATCGGCATCCACTTATCAGAGAGAATATTCAGCCTTTGTTTTTTTCACTTAGCTTGATATTCTCCAGCTCCATCCATTTACCTTCAAATGTCATAATTTTATTCTCTTTTAATGCTGAGTAATATTCCATTGTGCATCTACACCACAGTGTCTTTATCCATTCATCTATTGAAGAGCATCTAGGTCGCTTCCACCGCTTAGCTATTGTGAATTGAGTTTCTATAAACACTGAAGTGGCTGCGTCACTATACTATGCTGATTTTAAGTCCTTTGGGTAAAGACCACGGAATGGGAGAGCTGGGTCAAACGGTGGTTCCATTCCAAGTGATTAGCCTCTTTCTTTCCTACCATAGACTGGTCTTCTCTACCTGCCAGGCCCCCCCCACCCCACAGCCTCTGCTTTACAAATGGAGAGCCCAAGCTTCCAGAGAGTAATCCCAAGGAAGGACTGTGATTGGCTCTGTGGAGTCACATGCTCACCTATTCAACCAATCACGTTGTTAGGCCAAATGTGAATCATATAATTGGCCAGGCCTGGTGACAGACGCATTCCGTGGCCAAGATGGCGACAGGACCCGGTGGTTATCAGGTGAAGGGGGACAGGAAACTTGCTGGGAAGACAGAAATCGGCCTCTAAGTCACTAGGTCTCATTTCCACCATGGCCACACCGACTCCCTTCATCGTAACCGTCGGTGGGAGACGCCCAGGGACGGGGTTCCTGCGCTGCTGCCCTCCTGAAGCCGGGGCACGTTTGCACGTTGAAGAACGTCCGCATCCTGCACTTTATTGATGCTTAAAACAAAACAACCAGAAAAACCTCTGATAAGTGACAGAAAAGGGACCAGAGACAGAGTTGAGTGACGGATCCAGAAGCACAGCAGATAAGGCCAGAGATGACCCCAGAACCTGGTCCCAGGCTCCAGGCTCCCGGGCTCCCCTCCAGAGCCCCCTCCCTTCCATCACAGCCAAAGCCCACACCAGCGGCAGGAGGGCCCAAGGCCGGTGCCTTTTCTGCCCAGTTACGGAAGGGAGCTTCGCCTGCTCTCTTCCCCTCGGAGGAGCTGGGCCAGCCCCCGCAGGGAGACCGGCTGGCAGCCCCGGCCTTCAGAGCCCGCCCGGGCTCTAGCAGGGCTGGTCCCTGCGCTGGACCGTGCCTCCTCCCAGCGGGCGCTCTCGGCTCGCAGCTCCTCCAGGACCCCGTGAAGGTGTCTCAGCGTGAGCAGAAGCTGCTGGTCTTGGATCTGCATCTCGGACTAGGAGAAAGAGAGAGGAGACTGTGAGGGGGTGCGAGAGTGACCGATGTCCCCCTGTCTGTCTGGTCCGAGGCAAGTCCCCCGCACCACCCAGCAGAAGCCATACCCACCGAAGCCTCAGTGTCTTCATCTACAAAGAAGAAAGCAAATTACCTATACTCCAAGGCTCTTATGAGGACTGAATGAATTCTCCACCCGAAAACATGCTTTATTTAGCATGTGATGTGTAAAACTCCACGATCATTGCACAGGTGTTAAGGTGATCAGGGTTTCTTTCATATTAAAACAAAGTGAAGTCAACTCAGCAGGCTGGAGCCCTTTGGAACAATGATTCCTAATAAGGTCTGGGTTCCCCAGGTCCCCAAAATCCTTTTCTGGGATCAGCAAAGCCAAAACTACTTTTATTACAATACTAATGTTATTTCAATTATTCACTTTTATTTTCTTATCAGTGAATGGTGGAGTTTTCTAGAAGCTATTACATGTACTATCCCTTTTTTTGGGGGGGGGGGTAACCAGGGATTGAACTCAGGGCACTTGACCACTGAGCCACATCCCCAGCCCTATTTGTATTTTATTTAGAGACAGGGTCTCACTGAGTTGCTTAGCCCTGGCCATTGCTGAGGCTGGCTTTGAATTCGTGGGACCACAGGCCTGCACCACACCTGGTCACATGTACTACCTTAACAGATTGGAGGCAGAAGCAGAGGAGAATCCAGCTGTCAACTGTTAAGCCAGAGATGAATTGCAACAATATAAAATTATACCACACTTCTCACTAAATATCTGCTTCAAAAGATAGTTATTTTAAATTAATAATGTTTTATTAACATATAATGAGTTTGTTATTTTTAAATGCATAAGTAAATAAATATTAAACATTTCTCCATTTTCTTTTGTAATTTAGTCAATATTGATGGATATAATTCACGAACACAAGGGCTTCTTCTTGGTGTCCTTAATCATTCTGAGGAGCATTGAGGGGTCCTGCTCCCTCAGACCCCAAGTGTTGTCACTCACTCACCTCTGGCCTTCTCCCTTATTCCCCTAAGAATTACCTTTTCATACGTTTTTCTATGCTTTACCTCCTCATTTTAAATGTTCAGATTTTATTTTCTGAGACAGTAATTTTTACACATGATACAACATTTAATAGCCACACAAGGGTATGTACGGTGGTCCCTGAGTATCCGTGGGGGATTCCAGGTCACCAGGGATACCAAAATCCAAGGATGCCCAAGCCCCTCATCTAACCTACACAGTCCTGTGGCCTTTAAATCACTTCTAGAATAATTATAATTCCAAATCCAATGTAGATGTCGTGTAAATAGCTGTTATGCTGTATTGCTTAAGGAATAATGACAAGAAGTAAGTCTATACATTTTTAGTAGAGACACAGTTTTTCAGTTGAATTCCATATTTTCAATCTGTGGTTAGTTGAATGGATGAGGATGGAACCTGCAGATACAGAGGACGGCTGTTGTTAAAAGTCTCGATCCCACCCCTCCCCCTCCTGTAGTTCAAGTCTCTTCCCCAGAGGCCGACACTGGGAAGAGTTCCCAGGCTTCACTCTTGATTCTGGTCAAGGCATAGTGTATGATTAGATATGCAGATTCACAACCCCTCTCTGTCTCTTTTATTTATAAGAGATAATTAGTGACATTATTTCTCTATTAAGAATAGTATTTTAGGGGCCTGGGAATGTAGCTCAGTGGTAGAGCGCTTGGCTAGAGTGCAGGAGGGGCTGGCTCAATCCCCAGGACCACGATAAAATTAAGTAAAATAAAAAAAGAGGTATTTCAAGTCATCTCATACTTGACAAGGCACCATAAACATACATTGGAGAGAAGATCACGTTTCAACAAATGGTGCTGGGAAAACTGGAAATCCATATGTAACAAAGTGAAATTAAGCCCCTATGTCTCACCCTGCACAAAACTCAACTCCAAGTGGATCAAGGACCTTGACATTAGACCAAAGTCCCTGTGTCTACCAGAAGAAAAACTAGGCCCAGATCTCCATCACGTGGCTTAGGAACAGACTTCCTCAATAAGACTCCTAAAGCACAAGAAAGGTGAAAGTCAAAAACGTCATCGTGTTAGGATGAGCCAATTGGTGGGCTTTTGTTTTGATAACTGAATCGCATCTTGTTAGAATATTGTTCTTTACAACTTTGAAAACTTGGGATGAAACCACTATTTGACCCAGTTATCCCACTCCTCAGTTTATACCCAAAGGACTTAAAATCAACATACTACAGTGACATGGCCCCATCAATGTTTATAGCAGTTAAATTCACAACAGCTAAGCCATGGAACCAACCTAGGTGCCCTTTAACAGATGAATGGATAGAGAAAATGTGATATATATAATGGAATATTACTCAGCCTTAAAGAAGAATAAAATTATGGCATTCGCAGGTAAGCTGATGGAACTAGAAACTAACATGTTAAGTGATATAAGCCAATCCCCCAAAACCAAAGGCTGAATGTTCTCTCAGATATACAGATGCTGACTCATAATAGGTAGGAGGGGTGGTGGGGAGGTTCATCAGATTGGACAGGGGCGGTTAGGCTAAAGGAAGGGGGTTGAGGATGGAAAAGACAGTAGAATGAATTGAACATAACTTTCCTGTGTCCATATATGGACACACGACCAGTGCAACTCCACATCAGGTACAACCACAACATGGGGAGTTACACTCCATGGATGTATGATATGTCAAAATACACTCTACTGTCATGTATAACTAAAAAGGACAAATAAAATATTCAATGAAAAAGAATCAGCTTAATTTTTGTGATTACTTTACAAATGAGAAGACCGAGCCGGTGTCCACTGCTCGAGCATTACTAGTACTGCCAGGAGGAAGAGAACCCTCGGGTGGAGCGTGGACTGTGTCCTGGAGAACCCTGGGATCCCACAGGCCGCCCCCCAGTGGTCTAGGACCTTCCCTTCCCAACTCCCAGGAAAGCATTCAGGGTGCGTTTTCCCCACACACATCTTTTTGTCTGAGTATGTACCCAGCATGGCAGAGATGCAGAGATGCAGAGATGTGGGGGTTTTGTTTTTTGTTCTGGATACTGGGGGTTGAACCCAGGGGCACTTTACCACTGAGCTGTCTGTCCAACCCTTTTTATTTTGAGACAGGGTCCAGCTAAGGGGCAAAGGCTGGCCTCGAACATGCAATCCTCCTGCCTCGGCCTCCTGGCATCACAGCGATGTGAAGGGAGGTGCCAGACACGATGCCTTTGACTTTGAGGAATGTAAACCCTGAGGAGAGGCTTCCACAGCAGAGTGTCTTCAGCCTCTGCAGTGGATCTCCGTCCTGCTGCCACATGGTCGGGCACTGGGGCATCGAGCTGGTTTACCTTCTTGCCATGAATGCCTGTGGCTCTCTCCTCCTGGAGACCCACCAAGACCCTGGAGCTCACAGGATCCCAGGAAAAGAGGAAGAGCCCTGACTTTTGCCTGTGGTGGCTGCTGACCATCTGTTCCCCTTGCTGCATGAAATGACAGTCTGGTGCAGGCCCATTCCCCCGACAAGGTCAAGGGGGCTTCTTGGGTGTGCTCCCAAGGAGCTCTTAGGGGTTCATGTAAATTTCATGTGATCGAGATGTCAGGGATTTGCAGGAGGAAGCTCAAGGGGCCTCTCATCTCTTGGCACCCTGGGAGAAAGGGGCTTGGACCTGGGAGGTTCCCTTGCTTTTGTTCTATGGAGAAAACAGGCACTTTGGGTTCCGGCACCTAGCAATCTGGCATAGGCACTCACCCTGGGGGGACCCTGGAGGCCCAGCGCCTGTGGATGTGAGAAGCTGCAGTCCCCTCTGCTGGCTCAGCTACTCCCTCTGAGGGCGAAGACAGGGTTAGGTCCCCGCTGGCCCAATCCCTAGCCATCCAGAAGTATCACAGGACAATCTGTCCTTCCCCAGGAGAAGAAGTTGTCTTGGAATCCAAGCCCTCCCTGAGGTTCCCAACCCGCCTCCTCCTCTCTCTCAGCTGGTGGCCCCCATACTTTGGAGCACTCCTTTATTTTTGGGTTGCAAAAACACCCAGGGAGGGCTGGGGATGTGGCTCAAGCGGTAGCGTGCTCGCCTGGCATGCATGTGGCCCGGGTTCCATCCTCAGCACCACATACAAACAAAGATATTGTGTCTGCCGAGAACTAAAAAATAAATATTAAAATTCTCTCTCTCTCTCTCTCTCTCTCTCTCTC